CTGCCTCTAGGGCCTGCTGTTGTGTTCTGTGTTCCCTCTCTTGTGTTGTCTTGTCTTTCCCTGCAGGTCGTAGGTGGGGCTTGCCACACTTGGGTGGACCTGGCCAGTCCACAGGTGTATAAGAGCTGGCACTACTCCTCACATTTGGTCTTCTCTGCTCTGCTCCGTAACCTATCTGGCGCGGCTGCATCACTGCGCCCGCGATTCCTCGGCGCCATTATGTTGTGGTTTAGTTAGTTTATTTGTTAGTTCAGTTAGTATTTGATTATGTTGCCAATTACCTAATTTTATATTGTTTGTAATAAAATCATTTCGTTTTATTTTAAAAACTGTACGGTCATGACAACAGTGACCTCCAGCTCTCACTGGGACGGTTCACAGCCGAGTGTGAAGCGGCTGGGGTGAGAATCAGCACCTCCAAATCTGAGACCATGGTCCTCAGCCGGAAAAGGGTGGATTGCCCACTCCAGGTCGGGGGAGAGGTCCTGCCTCAGGTGGAGGAGTTTAAGTATCTTGGGATTTTGTTCACGAGTGAGGGTAGGATGGAGCGGGAGATTGACAGGCGGATTGGGGTGGCGTCAGCGGTGATGCGGGCGCTTAACCGGTCCGTTGTGGTGAAAAGGGATCTTAGCCAGAATGCGAAGCTCTCGATTTACCAGTCGATCTACGTTCCAACCCTCACCTATGGTCACGAGCTCTGGGTAGTGACCGAAAGAACGAGATCGCGAGTACAAGCGGCCGAAATGAGTTTCCTCCGCAGGGTGGCTGGGCTCAGCCTTAGAGATAGGGTGAGGAGCTCGCACATCCGGGAGGGACTCGGAGTAGAGCCGCTGCTCCTCCACATCGAGAGGAGCCAGTTGAAGTGGTTTGGGTATCTGGTAAGGATGCCTCCCGAACGCCTCCCTTGGGAGGTGTTTCGGGCATGTCCAACCGGGAGGAGACCTCGGGGCCGCCCCAGGACACACTGGAGGGATTACATCGCCCGGCTGGCCTGGGAACGCCTCGGGGTTCCCTCGGAAGAGCTGACGGAGGTGGCTGGGGAGAGGACTGTCTGGGCTTCTTTGCTGAGGCTGCTGCCCCCGCGACCTGGACCCGGATAAGCGGAGGAAGACGACGACGACGGCAACGACAACATTGATGACAACTTACATGAGCTTAATATGATGGGTGTGCATGCCTCTGTGAACACAGTCCTGCAATGTCTGGGTCAGTAAAGGTCAGCTTCAGTCTCAGGTTTGGCTCAGCATCCACCCTGCTTCTGTACTTTGTTTTTATGACAACAATTGAAGAGAAGTCTTTCTCGTACAGGTAAGTGGTCGCAAAAGGAAGGAGAAAGTGCACGGCCTTGTCAGAAAGCACAGGGTATTCACTGTACAGCTTTATCCAAAAGTCCAACAAAGTGTGCTTTCTGAAAGATGCCTTCATTGTTTCATCACAAGACAGCTCTATTAAACTCTCCTGCTCAACAACAGTTAAGTCCACTGAGGCCACGTGAGAGGTGTCGATGTTGAAAAGGTTTCTCATCCAGCTGCTAGCTTCATCTTTAGGCATCACTGGGAAATAACTGCAGAACTGTTGTCTGAGTGATGCGAGGTGTGCAGCGATGTTCTCCCTGACTCCATCATCAAGCATCAGGTCGTTGTCAGACAGAAAACTCTCCAAAGCAGGGAAAGCTGAAACATCACCTGTCTTGACTTTGATTTCAAATAACTTTTTCAGCAGTGCATTGATTTTGTCCTGCACATCAAAAACATTGATGGAGAGTCCCTGTAGTCCCAAATTCAGTTCGTTTAAACATGAAAAAATGTCAGACAAATATGCCAACTGACTGAGCTACACAGCATCCTCAAAAATGTCTGACAAGGGGAAATTTGTTTCCTGCAAGAACATCTGGACCTCCTTGTGCAATTCGAAAAGCCTTGAAAGCACCTTTCCTCTTGAAAGCCACCTTACTTCAGTATGAAGCAAGAGTTGGACATGCTCACTGCCCATCTCCTCGCAGAGCACATGAAATAAGTGAGCATTCATCGGTCTGGCCTTGATGAAGTTCACAGTTTTTACAGCAGAGTCCAGCACAGACTTCAGGTCATCAGGCATCTTCTTCACTGCCAGTGCCTCACGATGGATGCTGCAGTGAGTCGAGAGCATTTCAGGTGCCACCTCTCGGATGCGAGCTGCAACCCGCTGTTAGGACCTGTCATAGCCCTCGCGCCGTCTGTACACACTCCCACACACTTTTTCCAGTCCAGTCCGTTCTCTTGGATAAACGCGTTCAGTACCTGGAATNCTCGCGCCGTCTGTACACACTCCCACACACTTTTTCCAGTCCAGTCCGTTCTCTTGGATAAACGCGTTCAGTACCTGGAATATGTGCTCTGCTGTACTTCTGGTCTCAAGTGACTGACAGAATATAAAATCTTCCTGAGCTGCACCATCATATTCATATTTCACATAAACCAATAAATTGGCCAAATTTGCTACATCTGTAGTCTCGTCAAGCTGTATGGCAAAATATCGACTGTTCTTAATACGCTCAATCAGTGTCTTTTCAACATTGTCAGCCATGTCTTTTATTCTCCTTGACACGGTGTCATTTGAAAGCGGCACCAAGTTTAACTCTCTGGTGGCTTTCTCTCCACACATGATCCGTGTCATCTCTTTGGCTAAAGGTAAACACAGCTGTTCCCCGATTGTGTGCAGCTTACCGGCTTTGGCGATCCGGAGGCTGGCACTATATGATGCTTCCTGTGCTTTGGCTATTGGTGTACCATAGGACTGAATGGCGGACTTTGACTGCTTCAGTTCATCACGTTTTCGTAAAAAAATTCCACTGGTTTGTCCTTAAGTGCCGTGTGTTTGGTTGTAAGATGTCGTTTGAGATTCGATGGTTTCATGGATTCATTGCTCAGAACGTCGCCACATACCACACATTGCGGCCTGGGCTCTTCCTCTCTCCCGGTCCAAATGAATCCATGTTTAATGTAGTTTTCGTCATATCTCCTCACTGGTTTCTTGCTGTTGCTAGCAGATGTTCTGGGGCTGGCTTCACCGGCGCTAAAGTAGCCATTGTTAGAACCAGCGCCTGCACTCGGTTCACACACGCCCTCTTCAGTTATCGCTCTCTCCTGATCCACACTTCCCTTCGCAGATTTAAGCCACGACAGTAGTTTCGTCTTACTCTTCATTATTAACCACCTCCACCTCTTCCCATCACAGCCTGTAGGCTACCAACGGTGGATAACCGTCGATATCAGCGGGAACGCTACTTACAGCTACCCAGAAGCACTTGCAAACTTTTTAAAAGTATTAACTTAATTTGTATCTCCTTTCGTTTTCTTGTCATCGGTTGATAGAATATTTTCATCTATTCTAATATGTTGGATAGTATTTCACGTTTTAAATTTATTTTATTTTATTTATATTTAATCAAATGATTCTTTTGCATACCACTAGAGGGAGCCCGCATACCACACTTTGAGAATCACTGGTCTAGCGAATGCTTCTGTTCCCTCTTGCTTTAAACATGCAGTAGTATGTCCCATTATTGAAAAAGCCTAACCTTGATGCAACCGCAAAAAAAAAAAAAAAATTCCAGCCTTTTTCTAAGCTGCCATTTTTATCAAAAGTCATGAAAAAGACTGTCTATGCTCAACTACTGTCCTTTTTAGAAAATAATAACATTATGGAAAAATGTCAGTCCGGTTTCAGGACACGCCACAGTCAGATCTGGAAACATGTTTTCATCCTCTGCTCCCATCACGTCTGGTATGCCCCAAGGCTCCATCTTGGGACCCATCCTGTTTGCCCTTTATATGCTCCCTTTAGGGTCCATCTTCCATAAATATAATATCTCCTACTATTGTAATGCAGATGATACTCAGCTTTACCTCCTATTAGAGTATAATTCAATTCAATTTTATTTATAAATCCCAATATCACAAATCACAATTTGCCTCACAGGGCTTTACAGCATACAACATCCCTCTGTCCTTATGACCCTCGCCGCGGATAAGGAAAAACTCCCCCCAAAAAAAACCTTTTAACGGGGAAAAAAAACGGTAGAAACCTCAGGAAGAGCAACTGAGGAGGGATCCCTCTTCCAGGACGGACAGACGTGCAATAGATGTCGTACAGAACAGATCAGCATAATAAATTAACAGTAATCCGTATGACACAATGAGACAGAGAGAGAGAGAGAGAGAGAGAGAGAGAGATGCAGGTAATGACAGTAGCTTACAACAACATTATTGAAAGTAATAATATTATAGTTATAGTTCTGGCTACTGTGGTACAATATGTTGAAAGTATGTATTAATATCTGGCAGTATACATGTGTGACAATAGTCATATGTGTATAATAACAGTAGAAGTATGACTAATGACTAATGATGGCAGCAGCAGCAGGAGGCATCTGGCAGGACCACGGCAGCAGCACAACCACACACGTCACGCTGTCCAGGCACCGCTGCGATATGAGTTAATCTGAGAGACAGTGGAGCACAAAGGCTCCGGAGAAGAAGCCGAGTTAGTGACATCCAGAATGGCCGAGTTAGCAAGATGCAGTAATAGAATACGAGAGAGAGAGAGAGAGAGAGAAGGAGAGAAGGTGCCCTGTGTATTATAGGGGGGTCCTCCGGCAGACTAGGCCTAAGTCAGCCTAACTAGGGGCTGGTACAGGGCAAGCCTGAGCCAGGAAAAAGAAAAAGGAAAAACTCCCCAAAAAAACCCCTTTAACGGGGAAAAAAAACGGTAGAAACCTCAGGAAGAGCAACTGAGGAGGGATCCCTCTTCCAGGACGGACAGACATGCAATAGATGTTGTAAATGACACTGTTAGGTCCCTATTGACTGCCTCCAAGATGTGAAATCTTAGATGGCAAAAAAACTCTCCAACTAAATGATAATGCAACAGAAGTGGTATTATTTGGCCCCCGCAACTCCATCCAGGGTATAGCAAACCACCTGGGGCCCTTGGCACCCAAACTTCATGCCCAGGCCAGAAATCTTGGTATCATCTTTGATACAGCTTTAAATTCGACAAACAAATTAACTCTGTAGTGAAAGGTTGCTGTTTCCAACTTAGAAATATTGCCAAACTGAAACCAATCATCTCATTTCATGATGTGAGGATAGTCATGAGTGCCTTAATTTCCTCTCATCTGGATTATTGTAATGCTCTGTATGTGGGTTGATACAGAATGCCGCTGCTCGACTTCTAAGTAGTACACGGAAAACAGACCATATTACACCTGTACTGGCTTCCTTGCACTGGTTGCCAGTCAAGTATCGGTCTGAGTTTAAGGTCTTACTCTGTTTTTAAACATGGCCTAGCACCCAAATAAGCTCCTCTGCCCCCTTTCAACACTAGATCTCTCAGATCCTCAGACCAGTTGCTTCTCACAGTCCCGCGATCCAGGTTAAGGGTGAAGGGCGATCATGCATTCACAGAAGATGCCCCAAAGCTTTGGAACAGCTTACCCTTTTCAAATAAGTGCTCCCCCTCTGTAGACACATTTAAATCTAGGCTGAAGACCCACATGTTTTCTAAGGCATTTGATTGTCCTTAAGGTTTCTGTTTTTTCTATCATTATTTTTATTTTTAAATCTTACTCTTCTGTGCTTTGTTTTCTTTATTTCTTTTCTTTTTTTACTCATTTATTTTTTTTATTTAATTTTGTATGTTAACATGTATGCTAATAGCAGGCTTCTAATTGGATTGCACGGTGTATCAGGTGATTTGTAGGAGGCCTCTATACTGTGTCTTTGGTTACAAGACTAAGATTTTTGTGTGTTTCACCCATGGACCTCTCTCTTGTGGGATCTGTTGGGTCTTCTCTGAGGTTTTGGCATATGTCTTTGGGTTTATGATGACTCTGGGCCTTTCTCAAGAACAGTACTGTTTTCCAGGCTCTAACACCTCGTGTATTAAGGCACATTTTAGTGTGGGGACTAAAGTTGCCCTCTATTTTTTGTTTGTTTTAGGCATGCTGATTACCATTTTAGGGAACTCTGTTGTCATTGTGTCTATAAGTCATTTCAAGGAGTTGCATAATCCTACCAATGTCCTTATTGTATCTCTTGCTCTGGTTGATCTACTAGTGGGTGTTATTGTGATGCCCTTCAGCACCATCCGGACCATTCATGGCTGCTGGTTTTATTGTGATGATTTCTGTCTGCTGCACTCCAGTTTTGATTTGTTTTTTACCACTTTGTCTATCTTACACCTAATTTGCATTGCTGTAGACAGAAAACAAGCAATATGCAATCCTCTGCATTATTCTAGGAATATCACCATGCCAGTTGCCTGGGTTATGGTATGTGCTTGCTGGGCACTGGCTGCTGTTTACTCTTTTGGACTCCTGTACTCAAAGGCCAACATTGCAGGGTTAGAAGATTATTTGGCATCACTAAACTGTCTTGGCAGTTGTAACCTTCTCTTTAACCATCTTTGGGGAGTTTTAGACAGTGTAATCAGCTTCTTCTTTCCCTGCACTGTGATGGTTTGTCTGTACACTAAAGTATTCATTGTGGCAAAAGGGCATGTAAGAAAAATTGGAGATATGAGCAATTGTTCAAAGAGGAGAGAGCAAGAGCAAGACAGAGCAAGAGGAGGGCTGATAAAACAGTCTGAGCACAAGGCTGCAAAGACTCTGGGTATTGTAGTCGGTGCATTCATCTTTTGTTGGATGCCCTTTTTTATAAATTCTGCAATTGATGCCTACACTGCCTTCAGTACACCTATTGCCATCTTTGAAACATTTGTATGGTTGGGATACTTTAATTCAACTTTAAACCCAATTATTTATGCCTTCTTTTATCCCAGCTTCAAAAGATGTTTCTATTGTATTGTCACTCTAAAAATATTTGCATCAAATTCCTCAACCATGACTTTATCTGTTAAATGACACAGCTTCACTCAAAAACTGCACTGTTTAACATTTTNTTGTCACTCTAAAAATATTTGCATCAAATTCCTCAACCATGACTTTATCTGTTAAATGACACAGCTTCACTCAAAAACTGCACTGTTTAACATTTTTCAAATAAGATATTATTTTAACAAGTTCTTGGGCATGCACTTGCATGAGGAATAAAAGGTCTTTGTTTTGCTGTTGTTATCAACAATCGCAAAATGCAAATTTTGCTTTTGCTCTGATTGTGCTTTATATTACAATACTACTGGTATATTATGTCCAACATTATATATTATTTTACAGTGACCCTTATTCAAGTTTATCTCTGTGTGTGATTGCTTATAGACATTATTTTTCATGTCAGAGTTTCTGCTTAACTCTAATGACGTATAATCAATACCTAATTATATTAAAGCAATGTCCCTTGATCAATTTAACTTTAAACAATGGATACATAATTATTGATGCTTTTAGATCATATGTAAAATTGTATTCAAATATTGTGCATTACTGCATCATATGTTTTAACATATCTAAAGTATAAGTGTTTTGTCCCAGTACTATACAGACAGAAAATAAAATAGTCTGCTGACAAAACCTGTACTTTTTTCTGTATGGTTAACCATAACATTGTGTCTCATTAATTCATGGA